CCTCAAAACCACCATTCCAGTTTGGCCCTTTCCAATTGCAACAATCATCAGGTTGTTGTTTCCCCAGATTTTGGAGAGAGGTAGTGAAGAGGGTTTGAGCAGTAGTGTTTGGATAGGTCGAAAGATTGAAATGAAACTTGAAGATGTGAAAACGGCTAATGTTTTAATAAAGAGTTAAGGTCTTTGAGGATAGTGAGTTAGAGACGTAGCAAGGAAGGCAATGATTTCAGTATTAGAAGTACCGACCACTTTTATACTTACGAACACTCTAGATGAAGGCATGGTCTTAAGGAAGAAAGCAAATTTATTTGCTACAGCCAAGCTTTTCGACCTATTTTAAAGACATCAGAGCAAAACAACTTCAATATGTCAATCTGTAGACATATTTAAGGTTGTTTTGCCCTGACGATGACCAGAGATGATCCAGAGTTCATAAGGAAGGCATTGATCGCACTAAGGCGTTAAAACCCCAACTTTAAATCGTAGCGTTTCTTAATCATTCCTAATCATACATAATCAAGACGAAGAGTAGTACCGTTACTTACTTTTCTAATAGGTTTAAGGGTTTTTTAAATTTGCTTTTTCACCTTCTGACGTTCACACCATACATCACCCAAAATCCAAGAAATCTCCAGGTTTTGATCTTATTACCTCAAAAATTCTCCAACACCTTCCCATCATATTCATTACATACCTATTTAATTCTATTCTTCGTACAACCTACTTCCCTATAGCTTGGAAGCACTCGTATATTCGAATGTTCCCTAAGCCAAAAAAGCCAACACATTGTACTACTTCATACAGGCCAATAGGTCTACTACCTGCTTTGGGTATTAGTAAGTTTAGTAAAACTTACTTAAACTTACTTAAACCTTGTAAATTTTAGAAAAACTCCTATTGAAAAGAATTCTTCCGATTCTAAATTCTCAAAACATAATCCCAAGCCATCAATTTAGTTTTCGCAACTGTCATTCAACTGTCCAGCAGTGTCACCGCGTGGTAGATTATATCCTCCTCTCTTGAGATGAGACAGTACTGTTCCGGAGTCTTTCTGGACGTAAGCCAAGCTTTTGATCGAGTTTGGCACTCGGGCCTGCTGTTCATGCTCAAGGGCATCCTTCCAACCACCTACTATCTCGTACTACACAGTTACCTCACTGACCGATTCTTCCAAGTCATCGAAGGCCATTCCCTCTCTGCATATTTTCCTATCGATGCTGGTGTTCCTCAGGGTAGCGTACTGTCCCCTACACTATACCAGGTTTTCACATGCCATCTCATCCCGAAACCATCACATCCACATTTGCAGACAATACCGCAATTCTCTCTAGTAACTCGGACCTTGTCATTTCCACTCGAAACCTCCAACAACACCTCATACTACTAGAGTCTTGGTGTAAAAAGAAAAGGTGAAAATTTAACACGGACAAATCCACCCAACTGTTTTCTTAAATAATCTTCCCCTCCCAACTGCGTACAAAGTGCGGTACCTCGGACTGTACATCGACGTCAGGAGGGACGATATAGAATTCTTGCACGACTTCTTGACATACGTTTTAATTTACCTCTTCAAAATAAAAGGCTGCTTTACAACACCATAGTTCAACCAATTTGGACTTAGGAACTGGAAGAGTGGGGTTCAGCCAAACATTGCAACATCCACCACATTTAAACTGCCCAGTCTATAATACTACGAAAAAGACTAGATGCTCCATTTTATGTATCGAACTAAGCTACACATACAGATTTACATATTCCTTTCGTACAAGATGAAATACGTTTCCGTTACCGTAAATTTTATAAATACCTCCCAACTAACGTAAACCAACACATCAGAAACCTCGCATCCCGACGAATCCCCTCAAACCCTACCCGCCGACTGAAGAGACAATGGCCGCGATATCTCCTAGGAAGTGATGGTGATGACAGTGAAAATGATAATGAACACACATATCAATTAAACAAACAATATTATTGTAACATTGGAGTAATACCAATTGGTATTTTCTCCACTCTTGGTTTTAATTTTGAATATATTATCTTGCTCACTGTTACTTGTTACCTACTTGAAGGTAGTTGTAATGTAGTAGAAATTGAAAAAAATGTTTAAAACCCAAATAATAAAACTAAACGTATTCGTTTCCATAAGTCTTGGGTCATGGGTGACCTAAGCCTCTATTTCTTTCACTGCAACCTAAAAGATTTATCTATCTTACCTATCTTACCTATAATACAGGGTGACCCCAATCGATTCAACCACACTTCCAGATCTTATAGGAAATTGAACGCTGAGTAAAAAATGTCCTATGAACCTTCAATTCCGAGCTACAAGCAAAAAACCATGAAAAACCACGTTTTTTTTTACCTTATTCATGAAATTGTTAGTAAACCGTTAGCCTGACCGTAAAACAGCTCGAAACAACATCTGTATAGGATTAATTTCTGCGTCGAATGAAATTAAAACCAGCCTGATCGGCCGAAAATGTCATTTTTGGCGATTTTTCAATTCAAACCTGGGAATATCTTAGATATATATATTTAACTTCTAGTAAAGCGGAATAATCTAACTCTGGTGTGCCAGGACAAAAGGGAATCAAAGGCAACGAACAGGCTGATAAAGGAGCAAAAACAGGAGGACCCTTCACAACTTTTGGACCAAAACCATTAGTAGTACATTGGCACGTCCCAAAGCAATACTAAAAGCTGAATTGAAAATATATGAACACATAGAGAAAGAAATGACCGCACTTTGAATAATCTCACCATGCGTAAAACATTCAAAGAAGTTATTTAACAACGCAACCAGGAAAACAAAAATATACCTCTCCCTCAGCAGGCTAGAATTAAGGAAAACAATAGGCTTTTGTTCTGGCACTTGCACATTCAATTATCACCTTAAAAAATAGGAAAAACTGACAGATAAACCAACTAAGTAAAATAACAGAGTCTTCGGAACATGTCCAAACACCAATGTGCCTTCAAAAATTAACCGGAAACTATATTGCCAACGGCGATAATAACTCCTAGGGAAATTAACGACGAGGAACCTTTAAGGTAGTTTTCCGGTTATGGAAAGAAAAAGAGCTTAATTAATACAAGGTGGCCCCAATCGATTCAGCCACACATCCAGATCTTATAGGGAATTGAACGCTGAGTAAAAAATGACCTATGAACCTGTGTACGCAAACCCTTAAGTGGGTAACCTTATAAACATAAAACATCAATATCTCACTGGCACTCTCAACAGAACACGCAAGAATGGCACAATTACACAGAAGAGACAAACGCTGTGAGTGAGTAGAAATACTTTGATTGAATATAAAAAATATATTTTGCATTGTATAAATTCACTTTTTTCCACATTCTACATGTATTTGTTAAATGTAAACAATGTTTGTAAATCCCAGGCCCTGAAGATGATCTCAATAAAGATCGAAATGTTGGCACGATAAAGAAAATGTTTTTCTGAAACCTACATCACACCAGACCGCATCTCATGATTTCTGAATAATTATCGATTAACGGTCACTAACCACAACACATTTTTTCTTATTATGAATTAAAATGCCATGCCAGGAACCGAATCGAAAACCGCTGGCGTGGCAAATACTAGTAAGACGCTGAACCACTCAGATACCGCAGACCCCGTTGAATTAATAAATAATTATTAAAAATAATTTTTATTCTAGTTGATAGTGATCGACCTCCGTAGTTTTAAAGTTAAAGATTTTTTAGTTAAAAACAAACCACTACCCGGTGGCACTGATAAATAGACTCATAAATGATTTTAAAGAAAAATGTGTTCAAGATGCTGCTCTGATGGATAACATTACCCCCAATGCCATGATGGAGAGGAGTGATAAGCCAATTTCATTTAGATCAATCATATATGTACCTAATGTATCCGGGAAAATTAAAAAATTGTTTAAAAATAAGATTGGAAAAATTGGTGTCACGTATAAATTTGAAAATAACCTTAGATGTTTACATTCAAACCTAAAGGCGAAGGAGCCAATAAGCTCACAGTCGAACGTGATTTACAAGGTGTCATGTGCGGGTTGCCATATCCAATATGTTGGGCAAACAAAACAAAAACTTGAAATAAGAATGAACCAACATAAACTGGACTGTAAAAATAGAAAGAAAACCACGGGATTGGCAACACATGCGACAGAAAGTGGTCATTTCTTCAAGTTGGACTCCCCTAGGATCCTGGGCAGAGAGTTGGACTTGGAGAGACGACTGCTTTTCGAAAAAGTCTGTATTCATGTTACGAAAAACACTTGTAATTTGCAAATGGATCGACTGGGCTCCGTCATGGCATATTCGGGAATCCTACAACAGTTCATGAATCGTAATAAAGCGCAAAGTGACGTTGGTGTGACTAATCACACCGTGATTGATAACAGGGATGGGTCCCTTACCGTGTTGTAACCGTCCGATGTGTCTCAATTTTCTTCAAGTTCCTTGTACATAGTGTAAATAATTAAATTATAATTCTAAGTTAAAAAACAGTTTAAAAGTTGTATATACATATAACGTATCTGTGATAAAGAAATACATGTACCTGAGATTGAGTATTAACTTATAAAGAGGTGGGACCAAAGGATGGACCGATGAGTGTCACTAGATTTTAAACAAGACTATTTTATTTTTTATTTTTATTTTCAGTATGTAGATTCATTTCCACCTTCATTTTAAAATAACAACAAACATGTGCAATAAATTTAATTGTCTTAAAAAACTGGGTGAAGTACGTAATTTTATTCTTATAATGTATGAGTATATGATGTTTTATGTAATTCTGTTAATGTAAATTTGTTTTCAATAAATTAGGCCCTGAAGATGGCGGAACATTCGCCGAAAGCTTGGTGAAACCCAATAGTGATGTTTTTTATTCACCTGTAAAATGACCTCAAGAAGATCCGATAATTTTTATCTAGACTCTAAGATCTAAGATAAAATCGATGTAATTTCTGGTATAATAGGTTGGTTACACACTTTTCTGAGAAAAATACATTTATTGTTAAAATTTTGGTACACCATTATATAAGATTTTATAGAAAGAATAAACCTTAAATCGTTCCAACTGAAATCATGGTGAGGTTTTTAAAAAATAAGAGATCTAGTATTCATGATGTCAACTATTCGAAACATCAGATTTACTTTGGTCTGCTCGGAATTAACTTCGTTTCGGTGTTAAAAGTTTAACGAAAGATTTTTGTTTTGTACAAACTGAATCCAAAATTAACTTGTAGAAACTTAAGTCGTTTGTGACAGAGCAGAAGGGATAGTGGACGTACCATTTAAGGAAATTTTTCTAGATTGAAGAAAACCGATAAAAGTTTTTCTTAAGAGATAAATTAGGCATCATGGATTGAGGGCGAAATCACGAATTTTCACCCAAAATGTCTCCATCAGAAAAAAGCGAAGTTCCAAATGCCCTAAGCGTTCATTTCTGAACTTCAATTTTGAAAAGCATGTACATTTTCAACTGCATTCATGACGAATTCTTCTTGATGGATCTACAATAGAATACAAATAACATAAATACAATTTATAAGTCATCAAAACACACGGCTACAATAAAAATAGAAATATAAAAAAATGATTCATAGTTCTTTTTAAAAATTTGTAATGATGAAAACTCCGTTCCTCACTCACTCAGGGATATTAACGTCAAAATTAGAGTAAGGGACAACCTTGATCTAGTGATGCAGGAGGTAAACAAAGGAGTACTGCAAGATTTTGAAACGAATTACCCTGAAAAGACAAGGAAGTACAGAACAAAACACATAAGGTAGAGCTCCTGGAAAAAATGAAAGGACAGCAAGAAGGGTATTCAATAAAACCAAGCACGACCAAACATGGGGCATATAAAAAGAGGCACTTTCCCAGTAGAATAAGAAAGGTCAAAAGAAATTGTTCAAGTTCTGTTAGAAGATCCGAAAAGCCCCTTACTGTGCTAGAATTCGTGGAGTATTGGCTCAAGAAGGTACTGGGGGACAGTTAGGCTTCATTAGAAGACCAGATAGAAGATGTACAGAGCGAACTGAATTGACCATGCTAATTGTTTAATAATAATACCTGGAGAGAAACGGCCCAGTAGTTTGTAGAGTCGGAGGAAGTAGCCCTCCAAAGAGGACGAGTCCCTCCAAAGAGGACGAGTAGAAGACCAGAGAAAATCAGGTGGGCGGTTAACGGGATTTTTTCTATAAATCACCAGATGAGGACGTGATATACCCTTTACTACTACAGAAAGGGCAGAAAGTGTTAATGCCACCTCTGGTAAGAATATTTAGGAACTCTTTACGCTGGAGATATATGCGGAGATATTCTCCCTGCTTGAAGGAAAGATGACGTGAACGTATTTGCCAAAAGTATGGAGAGCCACAGACCAAACTCCTAGTTCGTACTGATCAGTTCCTTATGTTATGCAGATGACACTATTACATGTAGTTTCGAAGGTTACAGGTAGATAAAACTAAGGGGCACTGGATGAATCCACTCAATGCTAGGCAACATGTATGTACATCAGATTAGGAAGTCTCCGGACCTGGCCCAAGGATGACGTAAATAGGGTACTATCAAATGACATGCCTTGTAGTTATTCATTGGCGTGGAAGGTGCATTTAAACAGGTCACGGCCGAATCCCTGACCTAAAAATGGGATCTCAAAACCCATATGTCCATGAGTGTTAAGATGGCTAAGGAATCTATGGTAATTATATCTAGGTTGGGCGACACTACAATAAAAACAAGAACAACCAAAAGCTGTTCTCAGGGTGCGTTCTATCACTGAAACTGAAAACCATTACTGGTATTGGTTTATTATCTGAATTGCTATCTGATGGACGCTTTAACTTCCTGGACGAATTGTACAGTATATATTGGTAGATATTACCACTGTGCCAAGTAAATTAAAAGGAGAATAGAACAGAAGAATAGCATGAGTGATGAAGTCTAGAGGCATTTGAGACTGCATTAGGGAGCGTAAAACATTGGGGAAAACAACAAAATCATCCTTGTCTGGGTACCAGGGAACCCAGGGCAGAGGATCAATGAAGAGGTCGATAAATTGGCGAAGGAAAGTTTGTTGAGGAACTTATTGGCCCTGAACCCTTTTAAGGAAACAAAACTGCCAAAAACGTGGATCAATCAGATAACGGTTAAAAATCCTTCGTTAAATGAACACGTAACTCAGAACAGAGGCATGGGAAAAATTCTTCAAACGACCGTCACAGAATCTAACGACAGAAGTATTAAATCTAGGACTTCCTAGGACTAGAATAATAGTTGGACTGATTATTCGGAGATGGTGAGATGCGTTCTGGTGTGACGTAGGTTTTAGAAAAGTATTTTCTTAATCATGCCAACGTTTCGATCTTTGTTGAGATCATCTTCAGGGCCTGGGATTTACAAACATTGTTTAAATTTATACAACGCAAAAAATTTTTTTTTCTATTCAATCAAAGTATTGCTGTTTGTTGTGTTGTAGTGTTTGTTTTCTGCGTAATTTTGCCATTCTTGTGTGTCGTGTTGAGAGTGCCAGTCAGTATTTTCCCATCGTCGGCTCCTTTCACCTCAAAGAAGCCGACTCCTCATATAAATATGTCTTCCTATCCCTACTTCCTTCGCCACCACTTCAAAATCCGACGTATATAAACATAAAACTGCAATATCTGTCTGGCACTCTCAACACGACACACAAGAATGGCACAATTACGCAGAAAACAAACCCTTTGAGTGAGTAGAAATACTTTGATTGAATCTAAAATAGTTAGCATTGTATAAATTCATATTCTTTCTTTTTCTTTTTTTTCACATCCTACATGTATTTGTTAAATGTAAACAATGTTTGTAAATCCCAGGCCCTGAAGATGATCTCAATAAAGATCGAAACGTTGGCACGATAAAGAAAATGTTTTTCTAAAACCTACGTCACACCAGACCGCATCTCACGATCTCCGAATAATCATCGACTAACGGTCACTAATCACCACACAAAAATAGTTGGACTGCTAACTGCACACTGCACACGCCGGAAGCATATGTTTAGTGGGGTGGCAGAAACAATCCTGTGCTGATATTGCCAGGAATAAGAAGAGGCAAGGAACATGCCCTCTGTTGACGCAAAGACTTATGCAGGTTGAGAGTCCTACATCGGGGAGAGGAAAAGCCCGGGCTGAAGGATACACACGGAAGTCCTTGAGGTCTGGTAAAAACCCTTAAGCTTAAAAAGCTATGCAACAATGGAGATGCACAATAGACGAATATTGGTCGCTGTGCGCAGGCCGTAATGTACATAAAATAGTATTGATGAAAACAACATGTTTCTTAAACTTGTTAACTACATAGAACAATTTAACTTATACTCAGCAAACAAATTTTATTCAGAATTTAAAATATGAAACAACAACAATATTTATGGTTAAGGGGACATTTTGTACAATTCGATTAAACATGAATTTAACAAAATTTTTAAAAATATTCTGTACGTGTTAGAAATGGCGGAACTTCACCTCGAAAATTGAACTTTTCCGTCTGTTAAATTGAATTCTGAGTCGTAAACTTAATTTTAACTAAGTCGTAAACTTACTATTTTCTTGATTTACCGAATGAATGCGAAGATCCCTTGGGACGGAGACATTGATCTGAGAGTTTACGTCCATTTCTCATTTTGTTTTATACTTAAACTTTTACACTTTACACGCATACTTTTCTTTTATTTCTGATGATATAAAATGCTATTAAAACCAAATCGTTTATATTTAAAACTGATCTAAAAACCTGTCACTTTACACTTACTTCTTTTTTCTACCTTTTTGGATAAATTATCAATTTTTCTTTCCTTTTTCCCTTGAATGGTACGACCACTGTCCCTTCTACAAGCCATAAACATTGTGTCCCCAATCAGTCACTTTTGGATACAACTTGCATTTCACTGTCATCTTCTATTTTTCCATCATGAAATGTTAATACCTTGAGCAACTTGAGCACCGAACGACAAAAGTCAGCACGAGTAACTATCATTATTCAATAAAAAAAGCTCATATCATATAGAAGTATGTTCATTATTAAAACTGTCCTATAGGAATTTTTAAAAAATTTGTGAGATCTACCTAATTTTTTTGAGTAGACTGGAAATATTTACAAAACGACGGATCCTAAGCGACTAACATTCACGGTGAAATTTTGAAGCTATATGTTTTTCTTTTTTGTTTAAAATCATATGCTCGTAATTCTAGAGTAAACAATATTAATAGTAAACAATAGTAAACAAATGTGTTATGAACGAATGAAAAATGGTATTTAAACAAAGGTTGGGGCGACGGTGGCCGCAAGGTTTATTCTTTGACACGGCGCTCATCACTGTAACGTAAAGATCCCGGGTTCGAATCCAGCGGCCCTGCATTCAAACCCGACATACTTACAAATGGGCTTTTTTCCAAAAACACCGGCATCCTGAGGGTTTATATGACCTCTGCTGTTGCGAACCATCGTTTAAAAAAAAAAAAGTTAATTTGTTTCATAAATCATATGAAGCTGATCAGTGATAAGGAATTTAATATTTTAGCATTTAAACACTGGCCAAAAAGCTTCAAAAAGAAAACAAAATTAAATTTTGAATTTAATTACGGTGCATTGTTTGTCTCCAATTCTCCCTCGCGAAAAGAAAATCAAAGCGGTCATTTCAGGTGGGACTTAACTTCTAGTCTTTTCGATATAAATTTGCTACACATTTTCGATTTAAGCTTCGGCCAATAGGGGGTCGTTTTCAATGCCCCTAAGCTTAAACATAACGCTTTTATCTTGGATTGTTGACACAGTTTTTACTCGTTTGTATTTTCAAAGACAATAGCTTCATAATCCATGCGAAATCCTATTAGGGAGCAGAAGGCTATAAGACCTGCACTGGGCTTTTCTCATCTGTCCTAATGGGCTGGTATGGATTCTGTATGGGCCTGGGTTTATGCAAAGAAGGATGATTGATTTTATACGGGCGGTATAACACCATACATTGCTTGATATATTATCTTATAAGTTGCTTATTTTATTTAGACGAAATTTGAGAGATAAATATCAATGTCATGAAGAGGATTCGAACCCACGGTCCTCTGAACTCTACTCTGCTCTATCACTTGAGCTTTTATAATAAATTTCGCGTTTTTAAAATTAAAAATATATATACTATAAACATGTATAATATAGCGTGTCTCTTCTTCTCTTTTGTTGGGCCTAACCCTGAATTCGGAAAACTGAAAACAAGGTCCCAGAGGTTTTTTTTACGTTCGGACCTGACTACAATTATTTCATTTATCGATCAGGCATCTTTTATATTTCATTTAAACCAAAGTAAATACGACACCAAATGTTTGTTAAATTTGAATCTTTAAATACAATTTATTTTCACATAAAATGACAATATATTTTATTAATTATTATTTTTAATTTAAAGAATCCTTTTATCCTATAACAAACCTATCTCAAATCTACAAACCTTAATTTTAAAATGGAATTTGATTCTCGTTTTATAGTTCCATAAAGAAAGGTAAAGAAATTATTATTATTATTATNCTACCTTTTGGAAAGAAAAAAGTATATTTAAAAATATATACCCTTTTAAAACGAAATTATTATTTTTTTAAATATTTTTTTATATATATATTTTTTATTTATTTATTTTTTTTGACGTCAAAGTAATAAAAATTAACTCACTTGAATAGTGTGCACACCAAATTTTTCTTTTTACCAAAAATAGCTGTTTACCCACACAAGGCAGAAAGGGATATGTCCTAGGACTTGAAAAAATAGCCCTTTCTTGGCCCCCTACTCCTTTCACTGTTTGAGTGTGTGGAGGGGCATGGCGGTTCATTTAAATCTGAACGTGACACATGTAAAAAAGAAATGAAACCATGAAAATAACTGTTAATTGTTTCTTATGTTAATAATTGACAAAATATCGTTAACAATTTTTGTACAATAACACGAATATCTATTACATCAAAATAATTCAAATAAATACTTCAACCAATACAGAAATGAAATATTCGAAATTGTTTCAATTGAATTTTTCTTCGCAAATAGCAAAAGAAAAAAAAACTTGATGTTTTTCCCCCCTATTTAGTTCGTTAGTACTTTCGGTCGTTACTAGTCATTTTGAATTCTGGATAAAATAAAATTTATCAAAAAAAACAATGATTCCGTAGGAAGAACATAGTTTGTACTTAATTCCCCTTTTTTTGTTTGGGTGTTTTGGAACTTGTTTAGTTGTTTGTTTTTAATGTCAATAAATAGTATGAGCACGAAGGTAAAGTTATGGACAAATATCCATAAACGTTGTTGTCGCACATCAAGACCACTCCTATCTTCCAAGAGAAAAACATTTCATTTTTATTTATATATTTAAAACAGCGCTAATCGTATCATAATTTTCCGGCAAATCACATAAATCTTGTTTTAAAAGGGTTTGTTTTTGAGACAAATGAAATATTTTTCCGCTGTAAAACAAGTGCAATATTTTACACTCAGCAGGTCTTTTATCTATAAACCATTTAATAACAGAATCTTTAAATTTCATTACGTGTTTTTGCATTACCTGAAAAGGTAAGTTCACTTTCCTAGTTACTAAGTTGCTTTTATGATTCACATTAAAATATTTCTAGTTTGTATTTCAAGTTTCAGTCCTTAATTTTGCAGTTTTAAATGCAATTATGGGTAGTATGAAAGGTTAATCCATTTGATAACATTTATGAAAATTTCAAACATAAATGAATTATTATAGAATTTCTTGAATAAATTTATCGTTATTTCCGATTGAACATCTTGAACAATTTCATTTAACACAAAAAAAATTATATAGGAATATACAACACATTTTGATTACAACGAACATCGTAAACTTTGAATAGTCGAATAACTTTTATAACAATTTCCTAGAAAAGTAAATTTAAGACGCCATATTTGAGTTTTTCTTTTTGTGGTGTAATCTGATGTTTACTAAACCTACATCACTTGTTAAGGTGATCAAACAGCAGAATCGAAATGGCTATTCTCTATCTCAAGGAAGGAAATTAGGCGTTTGGTAGGTATTCTGACGGGATACTGTCTGAGAAGACACCTCTCCGTAATAGGTATTCTACCAGACCCCTTTTGCCGTTTTTGCGAAAGAAAAGAAGAAATGGCAAGGCACTACCTCACAGAATGCGATACGCATGCTAGGTCTAGAAATCTTGGAAGGAGAGGACATCATCAAATCACTCCCCGGGGGGCCGCGGTAGCCAAGTGGTTAAGGCGTCAGACTCTCGGCTAGTAGATCCCGCGGTCATGGGTTCGATCCCCACGGTCGCCTCTGGACTTTTCTGACGCCTAAAAGAACCGGTGGCCGCAATTGAAAGAAATAGACACGGCACTCATCAGTGGAAGGGGCGGGTTCGTATCTCATCGACCCTGAATTTGGTCCCAACCCCCTTCAAAAATGAGTTTCTTCGATGGAAGAACACCAGTACAACGGGGACTCAAGTTCACATTTGTGTTGCGAGCCCTCCCCCAAAATATGGAGCCAGGGATAAAGTACAATAAGCTGTACAGCTCAGCTGCAGTGCTCAGGAGGGAACTCCATTCCCTGGTATAAAAAAAAAAAATCACTTCCCGAGATAAAATGGCCCAAAATCTTGGGGTTTGTGGACAGGTCCAAGAGGTTTATGCAGGCCGACCAAGTCCCAGAACTTGTTTTGTAGGGACTTAAGACACTAAAGCAAAATCATCCTGAAATCCAAGGCGAGAACTACCGACTTTACCATCTTTCTATAATAAATATTTTTCATGTTGATAACTATAATAATAATCTGTTATTCGAATTGACTTCTTCATGTACCAATCTTTCACAATATCGACACTTTTATTGAACTCTTCACACCGCTTTGTTTTTTTACCTCTCTCAATATATTTCAAAATATATGTAATAAACGTACCGCTTTTACATAGTGCATACAATTTCAGCCCATACTTAACTTATTTGATATAAACACGCTCAGCGAACCCTAAATGGATTAACATTTCTTCAATGGCAACAAATCGTCCGAGGTTTGAATTATGTTGCTAATTAGCATAAATTTTTAGAAGCGTATATGGGCAGTTTATAAATCATTTATAGCAGTGCATGAAAACACTATGCTAACATATTAAGACAACCATTGTAATGTAGATAGGTTTATCATAAATGTTTTTATTGTCTTATACAGTTTTACTCCAAACAGGAGCCTACAGCTTTTCTGCTGTTACTAGATAAATATTAGACGCGTATCAAGCCTTGCTTGACAACCACGGAAGAAATGTTTCGAGTAAAGTAGGTCAAAATACATTTTTCTAAAGTCCTTAAATAAGAATTTTTATAGCGGAGGAAAATATACATTTTTGAATTTGAGTCAATATCTACGCTATTAAAACTGTTGTAAAGATGAATATTTTTACTTTCAAGCTATCTACAACGATTGTATTCAATGTCATTCTACCAGGGAAAAAACACTGAGAAAATGAATTCAAGAAAAAAACAATTTTTTAACTCCTCAAATGTTTTGTTTTATATCTCCAATTGTAAATTAGAAATTCTATGTTCGTTCTATTACGTATAGCTTATAGGGTTCTAAACCCTTTTAGAGTATGATGAAAATAGTTGGAGTCGTTTCACAGTATCAAGACTTTTGTAATTTTGGAAAATTTGAATGGAGAAAAAATTTATTTTTACATATTCTTACATCAGCGGTTTGTAATACAGGAAATAAGTATCACTTGGTTCCTTGTAAAACGAAATTTATCTTAATGCGCAACGTCAAAAAGGAACTTTCCAAAGATAAAAATTTGTTAGTTCCATTTTTTAATATTTTATCGATTTTCTAGGGTCAAATTTGAGAAATAAATACCCAAATCGTTGGGCTCTATTCACCAAACCTCTCGATTCTAGAGGGGTCCAGTCAAGAAATATTTTTTGGAAACTAAGGTAAAGTCCTTAACCGTCTGAACAACTAAGGACAACTTTAACTTTATTCCTCAACCGCTAATCGTAGACGAATAAAGTAGGACTCAAAACGTTTGGTTTTAGCGTCTATATAAATGTTATCGTGGGAAATGTCTTGTAACACCAGCGGTTTTTTCAAGAAGCCTTTTATTTGCTGAAAACAGTTAGACCTACCGGACCACACAAGTTTGCTTTCTCAAGTTCATTATGAATGAAATAGTATTGGTAGTTACTGACGATTACTTGA